ATTTTCACTAATCACCGTGAGATGAATAGTGAGGGGGGTTGGAACTTGATCATCTTTAGGGTCCCTTCCAGTCTTAATCAGTTCCATGGTGTAAGAGGCCTGTAATTCCCAGGTGTCTTCTTCATACCTTTGGGATCCTTATTAACTCACGTGCTTTGGCTGAATAATCCATAATTTTACTTTTGTTTGTTTGTTTCGTTGTTGGTTTGTTTATGTTTTTTTTTTCCTTAGCTGGGATGGAAATTCTATGATGCAGATGATTATCATTCTCTCGAGAATAAAAAGAAGATGGCTGAGGGGATACCACTAAATGATGAGGTACCTTGTATAAACCTTGGAAGAACAGTCATTGACTCGTCTGTCTGTGCAACCCCGGCAAAGGGGTGTCAAAGTAGATTGTACTTTATGTAGAGTGGGATGACTGTAAGCATAAGCTGAATGTGTAGGTCTGTAGTTGGTGGGAGGGGAAAGCTTCTTGTTTCACAAAAGGTGCTGCACTAGAAAATAGTTTATCGAAGTGTGCTTGGTAGGTCACAGGTGGTTTGGTGCTGATTCAGGGTTTTTGAGAAATCTCTACATCCATACCCAGAGTTGCAGCTTTAGATTACATATTGCTTCTTTGAGTTAAATACATTATGGCAAAATTGTGAGGGCCTTAATGAATGGCAACAGAAAGTTAATTCTGTAATTACAATAACAAAAAAATGTTGTGTTTATTTTTGTTATCATTTGTTGATCTCAACCAGCAGCAACAGCTTTGAAAGAATAAATGGGAGCAATAGTTTTTTTCTCAATAGTTATTAAAAAGTTTATGGGAACTTACATTTTAATATTATAATGAGAAGCTGATCAGAAGCTAGTATGATTACTCACATTGCCTAACTACTGAGAAAAGGTGTTTCCAAGTTGTGGCTATGACTACATTTATCTGTGAGTGCTACTGATGTGAAAACAACACAATTAAGTTACTGCAGACAACTAAATTAAGGTCTGTTCCTGAAAACCTCAATTTTGATTCAAAGCTTTATGTACAGGCTGTAAATTTGAACTGTGTCAGAGAAGCAAGAGAGAGCTGATTTGTAAGCTCATTTTTAAACCTTCAGAGATTTAAAAGGCACATGCTACACATAAATACCTCTTACTGCCATCAGATACTTTTAGGGATTTGTAACATAAAAAGTACTAGCTCACTAAAAACATCTTATTAATATGCCTATCACTTCTCATTAGCCACCAAGCAGTGGTAGCAAATAAGGAAGAAAGAGAATCAAAACTGAACTTGCTGTACAGCTTAAGGCTAATTTTCACATTTAGTCAAATGCTCTAGATTTTAGAAGCAATTGTTTCAACTAAATGCCATAAACCACTTTAAACTAACTTATTTTCCTTCTAGGACAGGATTCCCTGGCTTTGTGCATTGCATGATGTACTAAGGAGGTAAGAAAACATCTAGCTTTAACGAGTTTGGGCTAAAGATGAAAAAGGTACCCGAAGTATTTCCCCCATTGCATTCCAAACCGCAAATGTATGTAGTAGAATAAAAATCCCTGATAATGTTGGGAAAATTGTTGCCAATGATAGTTGCTTTCAGATTACACCAAACTGAGAGGAGTGGCTGATCGAGAGGGACTTTGACAGTTGGTAGAAATGGGCCAACAGGAACCTCATGCAGTTGAAGAAGTTCAGAGTCTTTCCCTGGGGGAGGAACAACCCCAGGCACCAGGCACCCAGCTGGAAAGCAGCTTTGCAGAAAAGGGAGCTGGAGGAGCCTTGGTGGACACCTAAGTTGAATATGAGCCAGCTGTGTGCTCTTCTGGCACGGCAGGCCAGCAATATCCCAGGCTTCATTAGCCAAGTATTGCTGGGAGGAAATCCTTCTGAGGCCACACCTGCAGCACTGAGTCCAGTTCCGGGCTCCCCATTATGCGAGAGACATGGACGTACTAGAGAACATCCAGGAAGGGGTGGGAGAGCAGGGACTGTTTAACCCAGCTTTACACAGTGACTGTTACTTGCCTTGTGCACATCAGGGGAGTGTACCTCATTGAAGCATGGGTTAATAGTTAACTGAGGAATTTATCTGGATTGTGGTGCTGGATCCATTGTTTTGTACTACCTCCTAGCCCAAGGCCACTGCCCAGCTCCAGAAACTTTGCAAAATCAAGTATACTTCAAAAGAGCCTGAGGCCAGTGTTTAATTACTAGTACTTATAAATAGCTAAGGCTGGCATTGGCTTGCCTAGGTGGTAATAGTAGGTATTAGAAGTTCTTGTTTCCCTGTGAACCAAAATCTGATGCATGTAGCATGATTTTCAGTAAGTTTATACCCAATTGTAGTTTCATTAGAGAACGTATTTTCTTAGGCAGTAGTTTCAGTCACTCTTCATACAGAAAACTAATTCTGGATTTGCTTTTTGGTGCAACACACCCCCATGGTTTAATTCTTAATTTTAAGAAACCTTGCTGTTAAAAAATACATGTGAAAGGCATTAATTTACCTGCATCCAATTCCTTATTTAACTCGAAATGGGCACATATGCAGTCCTGCCAATTAATATGGTTACAGGAAACATCAAATTTAACATTGCTGTTGAAACTGAGGTGGTGAAAACAGGTGTTGGAAGTATATCTGCTCCGTACTGTTCAGCAGCTACGTACTTGATAGATTAGTATAAAAATTTTATACATAGTGGGTGGGAGTTTGTATGGATATTCAGTTGCTTCTGTTCTTTGCAATTAAGGAAATCATCATGATACTTCCTTGTGCTAGAAATTAATTTAATTTAGGAAGAAGTGGCAGCTTATTAAGATGATCTTCAAGACTGAAATTTTACCAGGAGGTTGACTAGCCTGACCTCACTTTCAAATCACATCTTTACCTGCATTGGAAATTTGGTGTGAAAATCCTGTCAAAATTAGTAAAAAATGCCGCTACAAGAAAGGCTGTCCTCTGCAAGTATCAAGGGCTTGTCTCCCTTCTTTATCAGAACTAATGTGCTTGTTTTGTTATACAACCTGTGTTGGTTTTGTTTGTTTGTTTTAATAGAAAAGACTCATCTAGAGAAGATGCAATTCTGGCCTGTTCTGCACTGAAGAAGATGTATAGGCATATATTAGTGAGTGGTGCATCTGCCGTGCAAAGCAGGCAGCCAGTGCAGCCAGAAGACGCAGCACTGAAGATCCTCTTTGTTCATTTGGATGGGCCAATAGACGTCATTGCTGGCCGCCTGGAGAAGAGGAAAGGACACTTTATGGCACCTGAACTTCTCAAGTCTCAGTTTGATACCCTGGAGCCTCCTAGTGCACCAGAAAACTTTATTACTATCAGTCTAGAAAAATCTCTCCCTGAAATCGTACTGGAGATTGAGCGTGCCATTTTTCAGGGTGAAGTTTTTCTTGAGTGAGTTTCTGAATTACACATAGTGAAATTCCTTTAAGGATATCAAAGGTATGAAACATCATTTTAAGTATTAAATTGATTATCAACTCAAAACCCCCTTATTTTTCCCAATAATTAAATGGATTGCAATCTTAAGAGCTGTTGGCATTTTTATTGTGGCTTTGTAAAAGATGTGTAAGAGCACTTTTTCAAAATCTGTTATCTTCTTAAACATTTCACCATATGACGTTAAAATTCCTACCATAGGAAGAGCCTGCTTTTCAAATCCTGCCAAGAGTCACACATTTTAATTTTTCCTGCCAAACATGGAGATGGGCACATCTGCTATTGAGAGATGAAATAGATTGGTTTTATTAGAAACAATATTTTTCTAGAAGAGGCGGAAATGGCATGATGAAGCTCCATGCTTGATCCTACCACTGTCTTACTGGCAGATTTTCAACAAATGGTAGCGTTTGTGTCCTTGCTAATCTCACCAGGGTACTGGTGACTTTTCATGAGAGCCTTCACAAACTCTTTTTGTATGCCTTGAATACCTGAAAAATGTGAAGAAAAAGGTAGTGGTGGTGAGGCAATATACAGAACATAATTGTATGGAAAGCCTTGTGAATAAAGTGTAAGTGGCGTCATACTGGCTCTGAAGCTGCAACTTTTAAGTATGAAGTGCACCCGTTGATGAAGTGCAGCAGAGCAAAACAGTCAGTGATCTAAGATACTTTCTTCCGGCTTGATAGACGTTTCTTCCTTTTAGAAAAACTAACTTCCACACTTGGACCCTCTCTTTCACTTCCGTCTTCTGGTGTCCTTTGGTCTTATGCCTCAGCCCATGTCCAGTCCAAGATACACTTATGGATAGGTGTTCATGCAACTGCTTTAAAGCTTAGTATCAAACTATTTCTAATACACGTTTTTTACATCAGAAAATTCCAAATCTCCAATCAGTTAACCAAACTCACAGAATTTAAGGTTAAAATCCTTTTTTATTGCCAAAATGTTTTAAAAAAACTTCTTTATCCCTTCTTACACAAGTGGTGCCTTTTTATTGTAGCTTAATGAAAACTGCAGTTGTTTCTGTAAGAAAAATTGAAGCCACATCTGAATGGAGTCATCCCCATGTGCCAATGTACAGGAATTTTTAGTATGTCATGCAAGTTGTTTATTTCTAGGATAAGTGATTAACTCCTTCAGAAGCAAACCTCATGTTTCAAAGAATCTTTGGTGTATTTTTTACCTGGACACTTGTTGAAAAATGTTTGCCTTGGATCTCATTCTATATGAGTAGTAAGGGCTTTGTGGTTTACTGGACAAACTAATGTGCTTAGATTGGAGTAATAAATGGGTGTTATCTTCCTGAACACGGGCATTTGTAAAGATTTGGGATTTTAGTCATTAACTGACCAACCCAGAAGTGGTCTTTTCCTGTTTGCTTGTGACATGGAGAGAGAACACTGGGCAGTTACCAGCTGTAGTCTGCTGCTGCACACTACAGCAGCACTAGAAAAAAAAATGCTTCCTCTGAATTCAGAGCCTGTTGGTTTTCAGAGTCAAGGTGCAAGCTTCAGACCCAGAGGCAAAGTGCAAGAGACAGGCTGGTCTGGCTGATTCTTAACACCTTCAAATTTCAGAGACTAGGCACCTCTTCAGACCAAGTGACTCCTCAGAAGGGTGAAAGTTAGTTTAGTAGCTGTGAAAAATCAAATAAATGGCACCCCCTCGTGGTACCCCTGCTTTTAATGAAGTCTTCATATTTTCCCAATACACTGTTGCACAAAGAGCTCTTTAATATACCCATTTTAAAATTAAGATTTATGCTTACTTTTTTCAGACACAATGAAACCTCGGCAGAACAGTGTACAGTGACAAGAAAGCAGCTGCATCCTGTCACAAACAGATGATCAGACCTTTAAATAAAATATCAGGCAACATTTACATAATATTAAGTCCCAAAAGGTGGGACTTCAATTTTTAGATCTGCTTTGTTAGCTTTTATAGCATGCTCATGAAGTGTCTGGCACTAACAGAAAATTGTACCCAACACTCAAAAAGCATTCCCTCTTAGGAAAGAAAAGCACCTTAGGTTTTGGAAGTCTTTTCTAAACAAAATAGTATGCTCTTACTTAACAGGCAGTTAATGCTTCAAATTAGGTCAGGGATTTCTCATTCTTTGCTCCAATGACAGGAATATTGCCTTCCCTTAAACTTTACAGTTTGCCTTTTGCTTTTACTTCCAAGCAAAGCAAAGTATTTCCACAGTTCAAATGATGGTGAAAGGACAACAGAGCAACCATTTAAATTAATATGCCATTAATCTTGTAGTGAAAACTGCACCTATCATTCACTAGAGTTCAGTACTTTAGTCTTACATTCTAATCACCTGTGCTTGAAGATTCTAATTCCCACTTAACCCTCCATTAAAACAAGACACCTCTGTACCTCCTCTCTCCCAGCCTCCACTTTACTTAGACATTATCAGCCCCTGAAGCTGATCTTTTTGCAGACTTAGTGTTCATGAGAAACTAATTTCTAAGAAGGGACAGCTGACAGTAAGTGGATGAACATGGTAAAATATTAAACGTTACACCATTTTTTACACCATTTACACCATTAAGACTGCTGATCTGATAATAATGCATTTCTCTCTCAGAAGAGAAAGGAGATTGCCTCTAATGTTGGCTCCATCATAGATTGAGATACAGCTAAAAAAACGTATCACAGAACTTGCCCATCTAAACAAACAAGTAGAAACCAAGAAGCTGTTACTTTCACTGGAAAGTGTAGGTGAAATTTTCAGGAACACTTCTTATGGGTGCCTTCCCTCTAAATTCTGAATCACAGAATTGTCAGGAGTTAGAAGGGACCTCTAGAGATCACCTCATCCAACCCCCCTGCTAAAGCAGGATCCCCTAGAGCATATCACACAGGACTGCATCCAGGTGGGTCCTGAATCTGAGAAGGGGACTCCACACCCACCCCCGGCAGCCTGCTCCAGTGCTCCACCACCCTCACCGTAAAGAAGTTTTTCCTCATATTCCAGCTTGTGCCCATTGCCCCTTGTCACTGGAAACTACTGAAAGGAGTCTGGCTCCATCTTCCTTGCACCCACCCTTCAGATACTCATAGGCATTAATAAGGTCTCCCCTCAGCCTTCTCTTCTCCAGGCTAAACAGTCCCAGCTCTCTCAGCCTCTCCTCGTAAGGGAGATGCTCCAATCCCCCCAACATCTTTGTTGCTCTCTGCTGGACTCTGTCCAGTAGCTCCCTGTCTCTCTTCAACTGGGGAGCCCAGAACTGGATGCAGCATTTCAGTTTGTGACATGCAACTGATACACATTGTCTGAAGTGTTCATGCTAGTTAGATTCATTGTTCCTGTGTCTTGGTAAAGCTGGGCAAAAATCACTCTCTCACCTTGCCCCTTCCCCTTCAGTTGACAGTAGCCTTTTTTGGGTGCTATGGATTATATTCTCAAGACCTGCCACCTTCTGACAGATGAGGAGTCTTATGTCTTTAAAGCAAGGTCTCAGTAAGGCACACTGTCAGGCCAAGTCAAACTAGTTACCATGAAGATTCTAATAAATAGTCATTGTGGAAATAACTGAAAAAAGGTAGACTATTATACAGAAGCTACTTGTTATCTCTATCACTTTCCTGTCACAACCCTGTCCTCAGTGCAATAAAAGGTACCCACCTAGTAGAAGTCACTGTGAAGGTATAACGATGGGTCTGATCACTGCCTAGGAAATAAAAATAATAGTAATTTTGTATCCTAACTGTAGGCATTTTTGAAGGCTTTGGTTATATTAGTGTTACTGATAGATTATATTTTAATTTACTCCTGTTTATTTCACAATCTATGCTGTTTCATCAATGAAACTCTTATCCAAAGGCAGAGGCTACCAATCAGAAAATTTTCTTTAACATTTCCCAGTCCCCACACATCAGCAGTATTTACTTACCCAAAAGTAAGAGACAAGGTAACTGGACAGTGAGTGAAATTTCTCTTCTGTGATAAGAATACAACAGTTACTGCCAATGAAATGGCATCCATGGTTTTGCCAAAAAATTTCACTATAAGCTGAAGTGTGCTCAACTTCCTCCTTTATATTTTGCTTCATCAAATTGATTAACAATTTTGAGTTAAAATGAGTAATTTTAAACCATTTGCAAATAATTATTTTTAGAGCAAAATTAATTTACACTTGTATGTACCATCAAAAAGACTGTTCAAACCAAGTGTTCAAAAGCAATACAAGAATTCAGTGAGCATGCTCTCGACTATACTGACATGCAAGACCAATAAATGGCATATGTAATTCAATAACACACGAAGCGATGCCTTTTATTCTGCTACCCCCACTTCATCTAAGCCAGTAGTCTTCCAACATCACATGCCTCCCACTTTGTTCTCTCCACCTCGTAATTCAAGAGTCATTTACTGATCTTAGTCCAGAGTTGGTGAATAATCCCAGAGCTCACAATCAAATGCCAACTCTTAAAATGGTCAGTCATCTTGAATTCTAGGTAATCAACTGCAAACACAAGGAGACATGGCGCTTAAAGATTTTTTAAATTCATTTATTACCTGTGCACAAGAGAAGTAACTACTAATAAAAACTTAAGATATACAGTTATTTTTACATGGTGGTTAAAAGCAATTAGAGTATCACATGACCATGAATTGAAATGTTTCCAATTACAAATCAGAATTCATGTTAGGATCTCAACAGAACAAGCCAAAAAGCCTTAGAAGCAGTTGCAGAGCACAAAGCAGTGCCCCTTTAATTTGCACATGGTAAAGGTAATTTACAGTTAATCTTTATGAATATTGAGACAATGTAATAATGCAAGTTTCTGTACAGTCAGATGTAAAAAGATAACCAGAACAGTAATTCTAGTATATTTTAACTGAACTTGCTTAACTACTTTTGCTGAGATGATTACCAAAGATTTTGAAAGATCCTACACCAAAAACAGGTCTTAATTACTTGTGTTTTTTCCTTGCTTTTTGCATTGCTTGCAATCTCATCCTATTGCAATGTGTCAATCTCTAGAAATGTCTCCATTGTATATATATTGTGTTTATATTTTATACAAATTAAAGCAAAAAAAGGAAGATTACTTAAGTGGTATAAATCTTACAGCACTTTGCTAGCAAAAAAAAAAAAAAATACATGCCAAAATCACAATAAGCAGTATTGGTACCCACAAATTGTAGCTTCAATTAATTTGCTTTTAAATTTTTATTCTACATAAATTACTACAGAAGGCTAATGTTTAAGTAGTAAATAAACTGGACAATTGTAGGTCTGACAAAACCCGTTCACCCAAATGTGAAAGCTGATATTGTTAAAAAAAAAAATATCACAAATAATGCAGAGCAAAAGAAGTGTGATGCATGCAACAAGAGTGAAAATGCATTGATTCTCACTGATTGAAAACTACTGCACTCCACCTTAAAATGCATCAGACCAATTTTAGTTAGAGTAAGACAATCCCAAGAGTCAGAATGAAATAAAGCAAATATTTTAAAGATTTAAGAGCTGTTATCAAAAATAAATTACATTTTTTCAAGTTAAAGAAACACTGCTATGAAGGCTGAGAGCCAAGCAGCCTTTCAATAGCTGCATTGATGTCTCCTCCTGTTGCTATTAGAGCTTGTAAGTTTGCTTCATGGTTCAAAAAGCCCATTGCATTCAGCTGCTCCAGTTGTTGCTGAAATCTAACTTCTGGATTTTGCAACTGCTAAAAACAAAATTTGAAGCTATAAAAGCCTAACACACATTTATCAAAGTATAGGATAAAAATATACTTGGTTCTGAGCCACTCTCCATCTTTACTTATTTCTGACTACATCACTTTTAAGATCCTCAGACTATGAGATAAATTCAATTTGCAATTGAATTTTTTTAACAAGTGAGAGAAGCTTCAGATTTTAAAAGTAGCTACACTTACATGATATTCTTGAACTACAGGAAAAGCTGCTTGTTTGACAAAAAATAATTAAAACTAAACTGGGTAAATTTATGTCCCATGAACAATTTATTAAAGATGTGCATATAGGTATTTTTTAAATTAAACAGAGCTCAACCTAGTATCATGGAACAGCAAGGATTATGATGATGTCACTGTCAGCAATGCCTGCAGCCTGTTTTTTTGTCTTGATATAGAAATCACCTCTTTTTTAGTGCTCCAAGTATTGTTGACTATAACTACCAAAATTCTAGTTGTTAGAAAGCTTCAGTCTAAGGTAAACTGACAGCTGTGCTTTATGGGATGATCCTGCTCACACAAATGTATGGCAATATTTTGCATCTTTTCAGTGGCTGATCTTCAGTTCAGAGGCATTTTCTAGTCAGAACAATTACCAGAAAAGAATACACTGGGATAATACTGAGAAGTCATTTTTTTTAATCAATGAGTTGATTTAGATACCAACACAAAACCTGTGTGGCTAATGCTAGTTTTTCTTTTGTTCAGTTCAACAGTTCCATACATCAAGAGATTACTACCAGAATTTAAAATCTGCATATGGTTCCAAACCAATATAATGTCAAGATGTAAGATTAACTTTAAAAACCATCCCCCACTACCCACTTGCCCCAAGCAAAGCTAAACAGAATGTTGACTCAGTATGCAAGACTTGACAGCATAAGTGAAAAATGTATGAGAATATGGTTCTGCACAGTGGCACCCACCAAGATGGGTTAGTGGTTCAACAGAGGAGAAAAAAGCAGGACTGCCCCTTTCCACCAGCAGCCTGCCATTACTATGTACCATAGTTTAAAGCTGCTGTTTAACACAGCATTCTTGAGAGTTAGCAGCATGTATCCTTTGAAGCCAGTCCTGCTCACCACCCTACAACTACCCATCAAGATGCAAGCTTTGTTGAACTTCTGGAGCTCTCTGCAAAGCCTTGATCACGCTAGGTATGTTAAAAAAATGCACTTGCAGTCTGGACCAGCAGGATGTCAGTGAAGCCATCCACCACATTCAGGCTTCAAATAACCAGGGTGTGGCTATTCCAAACTTAGGACAGGGGCTTAGTCACAGCTAGAGAGCAACAGCAGCAATACAGTCAAAAAACACAGAGGTAATGGTATTCAACATGCTTAATTTTTTTCTCTTGACTGAGCCCACACTTCACTTGCCAGGGAACTTTACCACCTCAATCTGTATCAATCTTCCCAAGCATTGCAGAAATTCAAAGGTATAAAATTTAACTGTTTAGAGGATACTTTTACTCAAATTTGGTGTTTTTTCAGCATTTACTCGCAGCTGCAACACTACTTTTAAGCCTCCTCTTCTCTGCCTTGACCTGAATTATCCAGGGAATTCTCCCCTCAGCCTCCCTTCTAGCAGCATACTATAAAAAAAAAGTAATAAAACAAACCTCGAATATAGTGATGTACTTTACCTGAGCATTTGCACCAGCAAGTGCCTGCAACATTTGCTGGACAAACTGCTGGTGACCAGGTTCAGCAGTTCCTGATCCTGGACTTGTATTTTCACTAGGAACAGAACTAGGTATAGTGGACCCTGTAGGAGCTCCAGTGCTTCCCAGTCCACCTACACCAGGACTGAATCTGCATAAATAACAGAAAAAGAAATACACCATTTGAATAATAAATACTAGTTTGTCTCTTCTCATTATTTAATTACCAAGTAAATATCCTGCCAAAGAGGGGAGGATAATTTAAGTAAAGCAATAAGACAAAGATGAGAGTCATCACTGTTTAAAAGTTCATTGCAGGCAAAAATATGACAAATTATAAAAGCTTATTTAAACTAAAAAAAAGCAGAAGGAAGACTCTATAGTGAAAACTAGAGTAAATGCATTGAAAAAGAACGAACAACATAACACAAGAGAAAATTCAAGTCTAAATCTGCAAAACCAATCCTTACCCTGGTATAAGCCCCGGTGCTTCTGTTGCTAGTGTCTGCAAGCCCTGCTGAATTTGTAGTAAAGCCTGCATTGCTCTAGGGTTTGACATAGCTGATAACGTGTCAGGATTCTGCATCTAAGAAAGGAGAGAAACTCTTAACCATATGCAGGTGTTCAAAGTTAATCTTTGTCACTAGATGTTTTATAGAATCCCACATAATTTCAGAACTTGTTTTTCAACTTTAGATTTGAATATTTACATTAAAATTTTTTTTGAGAAAACTCTGATAGGAGGTCATCAATGAACTCTCTAGACGCAGACAAAGCCTTTCAAACGAGAAGTACATAACAAAAAAGTATTCTCTGTTATCTCTTCTAGCAGACCACATCACCTTTCAAAGCCACAGGACTGTATTATTCCACATTCTTCCAGAGGTAGTCTCCTGTATTACACTAGTGGTAAGCAGCAATGCTGAACACAATGTAACTTGACTAACAGATGTGTAAGAAAAAAATCTACACATTTCTTTTCCCTAACTAAATTCAGACCACAGCAGTTTGATCATGAATATGTCTGCCTATCTTCATACCTGTAGTGCCCCCAACCTAGAGAACTGCAAATGCACTACAAAACACACTAGCAAGCATATGCACAACATTCAAGTGATCTGTCTACTGTGACTTCAATTAAAAACTGGTTTTCATAGCCACAGATAATTTAAAAGGCAAGTCCTTTTCATTTTTTAAATTAGATGTCCAGAAACCTGACTATTGTAGATACAAAACCAAAACTAATGGCTTGTGCTTGCCTCTGCTTCGAGATGCCACATGTAAGTAAAGAATAACGTGTTTCAGTCACAAGTGACACAGTCCAGGTAGTCAGACCTACTTCAAATAGCAGATGGAATTACTAATCTTAGCAGTCTTCACTTGGAAAATAGATCTAATTCCTTCTGCTTCAAAAATGTTTTTGATTCATATAGAAATGCACAGATTAAGGTCAAATTTCCTCCGCTACAGAGCAGAATTGCAGAATATAACATGAAAAACTCTGGTCTGAAATACGGGTGCATAACAAAACTGGTACAGCAAGTTGTTAATATTCTACATTCATCTTCCTAATAGCTAAGTCAGAGAATAACTAAATGTTTAAGTGGCCAAGTTTCCTCAAATTTTTAAGAGGAAAACATTATGAATTGTCTAAAGAAAACTGGTGCAACTACTTTAAGAAAATATTTAAATGATGACTTACTGTCCAAATTTTGGATCTGTTTAACAGAAATGGTGGCCCAACAATTCTTAGAGCACTTACTTGACCCAAATCTTGTCTCTATTAATGTTATTAACTCTAGATGTTAAGTAGCACAAATTCTTTCCTAGCTCTACTGGGCAACTGCCCTTTATTGAAAAAGATGCCTTCTATTATGTACAGGAACATTCCATGGTTTCTGTCACCAACTCCCATAATATAAATAAATGCCATGAGCTGCAATGTTGTCAACATTCTGAGAATACACAGGTATTTCTCCACTTAATTCACCTGCTAATGCTGCTGATCATCTGACTTAACATACTGAATACCACAGAAAACAAGGTGTGCAGATAAACCCCAGGTGATACAGACAGAAGGAGATGATCAAAGGAAACAGAAATTATTCCTCCTGTGCCTTCATTGAAACAATTTGAACAGTTTATTCTGAACACTGAACTTGCTACTGTAATTCATGCATGCAATAATTATTTTACTCATACAACCACCTGCGTGCAATCAGATTTTGGCAACACACACTCTGATTCACAAGGACTGCCTAATGATGGAACCCAAGCACTATTGTTATCTGTTCCTAAATCTTGCTTGCGCCTATTTAGAGAACACGGTACTACTACATATTGTAGCAGCAAAATGCTGTTAAAAGGGGAAGATGGCCTCAGGACACTACTTAAGAGCAAAAAAGCTTCAGAATCCACTTCTTTTTTATTACATAATAACTTAGGTTTTTCAACCTCCAGTATAATATCTTTAGCAAATACTTAAGGCAGGTTTGGAGCACGTGAAAAGCATAGTGCAACTTTATTCTAGTAGTGAGAAAAGTGCTTATCTTTTTAATTTGCAAAACACATCATGTTGCAAACAGGTGTTTGCTGGCTGGTATGCAGGAAGAAAAAGTACTCCTCCTAAGCAAAGAAGCAAGACCAAATCTAAGCAGTTGTTTTATAGCCACAGAAAAAAATATCCACTAAAGTCAGGTTTTACTTTTTAAAGGAATGAAGACATTAAGCAAGGACTTATTAACAAGGGACAATTTAACTTTGTGTCTGAACCTAATGAGAATGTATTACAGAGATTAGCTCTTAGCTAAATCAAAGACAGGCATCAGTTAATTGAAATTACTGCTAATTGATTTGCATTATTAACAGCTCATATCTCATCTTACTTGCTGAAGGAAAGTAGGAAGTTGTTGTCTCATTTGTTCTTGAAGCTGAGGATTTCCAGCAAATAAAGGATTATTCAACATCATCTATGGGATAAAAATATTTACTTTCAAAGACCAAGCAGTAAGAACTACAGAGGGAGTTTTAAAACAACTAGTGACAGGGAAATAGTCTATGAAAATAACCTCACATAACAATAATAATATTCTTCTTCTCCTTTGGCCAAAATTTGTTATGAACCAACAGCCTGAACACATTGCAGGGGCCGACCGGGTTTTGCTTTTGTTTGCTTTTCTTGCTGTTTTGTTCTGTTCAGTGTTGCTTTTTTTAAGTTAATGCATTGTCAGACACCTGCCACAACTACTTCACTTGTATTACAAGAAAATCCTGTTCTGCTCAGCCTCCATGACAGATCTAAGTGATAGTTTCCCTGTAAACATGACCCAAAGTCAAGGATATTTTTCAAGTGAATATTTAATACAGAAAAAATATATTATTTTATTTTTTTAAATCTCTGTTCAGGATTTGTCTTTGGTCAAAAGCTTTAAGTAAAATTCAAAAGGACTTCTACGATACCATTCATAAACAGTATCTGCACTTTTACAGTGAGTATGGGTCACAAAAGAGAAGTTAAAACCAGAAGAGCATGCAGATATGGCACCAACTCCAGTCCTTGTGCTTCTTCCTCCTGACCTATAGGGGGCTTTTCTTAACTGGCACTTCTAGCTTAATTTACAACCAAATATTCATTTTGTCTAATTGGTTCTAGTGCTGGATCAAAGATTTAGGACTGTATAAAACACACACAAGCTTCTAAGTTATTTTAGATGCCTGCTTGGCATACTGTCCAACTACCAACTGAAAAATCTCACTGCAACAAACTGTTAAATGTACGTAGGTAATAATGCCAGGGAGTTCAGCATTAACATTGAGATCTAGGCGGTTCACTAGAGACAACTGTTGGGATGTTGGCACAAGTGAAAATTTAACTACATCATAAACTCATCTCTTGGGGTTGTGGGGGTTTTTTGTTTTTGTTTTATTTTTGTTTTGGGGTTTTGTTTGTTCGTTTTTCTGTACAGGGTTTTTTTTCGCGGTTTTGTCTTTAATTTCAATACACACATTACTACACCAAACACATTTACCTGTACTGCAAGATCAGGATTCTGGCTTAATGACTGCATCATGCTTCTCATATAGGGTGCAGACAACATATTCTGCATAAGTTGTGGGTTTTCTGTTATCTGCTGTAATAGGCTTTGCATTCCTGGTGTGTTGAACATACCAGCTTAAAAAAAGTAAAAGGCCACTTTAGTAAACATCCTGACTATCATCAGACAGATTAGACTCCCTAAAACCACAATATAACCACTTGTTTCCAGGAGGTTTTTTTTCTTTGAAGTATACTTCAATGTAGTTCTGCTTACAGACCCATCTGCTCTAGAAGCTAAGGCAGAGGCTGTAACCAACAAGCAGTCCCATTAAGTACCTGTATTATTAGCTATTTTCACAGTTGCCTTTAAACCAAAAAGATACTATCATTCATTTAAAGATTACTGACCTTTCGTTATTTTAAGGCAATACACAAATACTATTACCACTCCCGGTTTACTTTTCATGTTTGTCCTTCCTACAGAGGACTTTGACACTAGTCAAATATTCTAGAAAAGTAAATAGCAATTAATACTCTGATGCAAAAAAAAAATAAATCTCTTTCCAATGAAAGAATCATTTCAGTAAACTCTGAAGTATGTGCAAATATATACAATTGAAATAACAAACACACCTCCTACGCCAGGTCCCAAATTTGGTACAGTTGAGCTCTGTCCTGAGCTGCCAGAAGTGCTATTTCCAGCACTACTACTGCCATCATTCTCACCACTGGTGCTGGTACTTGTGGCAGTTTGCGAGCTGGACTGAGGGGCCCAGGGATTTGGTAGAGGATCTCTATTTTCTGTACGAGATGGCTGACTATCCCCTCCTGGTGATGTATTGCTTACCAGAGAAGCAAATGGGTTACCTCCAAACTACAAAGCAAGGAAAACAAACGTGAAGCATCTACTAAAGTCAACTGTTGGAAAATCCGTTATAAATGGTAAGATACCTTTCCAAAATTACACTTGAAGACAAATGGTGATAGCTTTTGATCAGTTATCAGTTGTGCTCACCATTCTACAGTAATTCACTGTAAATACTCTGAAAAGATGCTAATGTTGAGAGACACTAGCTCCTCAAAAAAACCTGCATCACATTTATTTTTTAAAGTAGTGATGCTACTACACTGGTATTTCATTCACAGTAAGATTGTATCTTGCAAACTGGTTTCCAACTTCAAAGCTTTTTTTTCTTCCCATCTTAGGTTCCAAGTTACTACACACACTCTTAAAAAACATTCCTGGACCTCAAAATGCTAAGGCAAAGATTTAAAGGAATTCAAATGTAAGTAGTACAGAAATTCATTAACTTTAAAACAGCTTCTCAAACTCACAAAGTGGTTTCTGTATTTCTTCAAGCCTAGAAGAGCACAGAAGTTTTAGAGCTCTTCCTCTAAAGAAGAAAGAGTCACAGAGGGACTTCAAGATCAATAAATGCTTTGCCATGTTCACATCTGAAAATTTACATTACTTACATGTTTTTATTTTTAAAAAACGTTTACTTCCAGTGGTGTTTGCAATCTTTTCTCACCTGTTCCTGTGCTGCATTCAACATAGGCTCCTGAATATCTGTATACATACGTCGCAAGGCATTGTATCCACCTGGTATACTTTCAAGGTTACTCAAGGCTCGGTCTTGGTTTCGCATCATTTCCTGCATCATTGCAGGGTTTCTAGCAAGTTCTAGTGTCTAGGGAAGTGGAACATTTAATCTGTATTAATAAGAAATCCATTCTTAAGTGAAAACGTCAGCATTTGACAATATCTCAGTTATTGCTGTCTAACCCAGTTCAAAATTATGATTAAGCCAAATCAAGTCAGCTTAGTGGGACTCAACAGAATTAGATATTTCGATATTTATAGACATGCTACCACAAATGTCACTATTGTGATGGGGTCAGGAAGGACTGGCTAAACAGAAGAAAAAGCTTGAATAAACTATTATTTTCCACCATTTTTTTCAACACAATATACTCCTACTATTTCTAACATCATTACAACAGGCAGCCTATAATAGGAACTTTAAAATAAATACCTACATTTTCAAAAGTATCTATTTGGTTTTTGATACCTTCTGCCACACAACATAACCTCCATACAATCTAACTTTAAAAGCACTTAAAAGTACCTATAGTTAGATAAAATGATAATGCGCAGTATTTTGGAGAACCACTACTTTTGGTAAACTCATTGTTGGCTAAACAACAGGTTTCAAGCACACATAAGGACATCCAACTCTGACGTCAGATTATATGACTACACAGTCTTCAGTATCTTTTTGAACTATGCTGCAGATTTTTTCCATTATCAGTCTATATTAGTATCTATAGATATTGTTTTTTAGACATTAACAACTAGAAATAAAAACAATAGTTTCCTATAGCAGTTTCGTGGAATTTTGTTAAAGCCTAAATACTTGGAAGAATGTTGAAGCATTCAACTAAGCATATCGAATTCCTGCTCTGTTGTTCACAGCTACAGTATAATCAAAGGTCTTAAACTTAAGAGATCCTTCTACATACCTGTCTCATTATATCTGGATTATTCAGCATGTGGCTGATTTCTGGATTTCTCTGTATCAGCTGCTGCATTTGAGGATTAGCCATAATTAACTGCCTCATCAGGTCAGGATTTGAAAGCATGCTCTGCACAAATGGATTTTCCATTATCTGAACCATCATTTCTGGGTTGGACATAAGCTGCCGTTGCATCTGACTCTGCAACTCTGAAAAGTTTGATGTATTTAAGCCCAGGCTACTCAGACCTGCCAAACCTCCAAGGCCACCTTTAAGAGGATGAAAAAAAAAAAAAAAATTAATTTTCACCTTCTCATATACTTCTAAACACATCCAGATTCTAAATACAAAATACTTGGAACACATCCCACACTTTAAAGCAACAAAAAGAAATGGAAAGTCCATCCTTACAAGGCTGTCAAGGCATTATCCACTAAGAATTTGCTTCTTTAAATAACAAAACTTGTAACTAAAAATCCAACAAACTGCATCTGAAACATAACTTGACACCATTTAACAGCTTTTCTTCTTATTTTCCACAGCTAAGGTACAAGAGATAAGTTTTGGGACTTTACATCCCATGCTGTTGGGTCCATGCTCCCACCCCCCACAACACTTTCCAATGCATTTATAGCAATGATTCAACTGTGTCTTCTTGATTAGAAGAGATCAAGAGAGGTGTTTCCATATGACTCATATTCCCTATTCTAATTAAAAGTAGAGCTCCTCTTCTTAGTCGTGCATCAGTAACTAATTACACTTTGAATTCCCCCCCCCCGCCAAGTCTAAACAAAACATTTAAGAATGTACTATCAGTCTGAAGATCAGTTTACACCTAAAAAAGCAATCGACTACTGTGTTTATCTTTTCCAATTCTATTTCTTCCTCACCCCAAAAAGAAAATAAGTTAAAAAAAATAAACCAAATAGCCTACTCTAATTATGGGAGCAGGTAGTCTTTTTAAGTCAGACTGCAGCCTACTTATTAATGAAAGAGAAGACTGACAACACTATCAGACTTGGAGCTTGAGAAATGCTGAGTTGTAAAATTAGCAGCAATTTTGTTACTTCTGTTCCAGATCTTGGCTTCATCTTACAGGTAAAACTACATCAATATTCTCCTCATGGCAATTCAGATGCACTTTTCAGGAGCGCACTGACACTGGAAGGAGCTCCTTTACCCATAGTGCCAGAATACAGCATCAGTGGCACTTTACTACTGATGGGTGAAACAGTACGTCTGAAGTTCTGCATAAATTAAGGAAATAACTTTCCTCTGATAACTTACTGATTAGAAACAGGCAATTCCATAGGTATCTGTAGTAAGGTTTTTTTGGGTGGCTTGTTTGGTTCATTTTTTTAAAGTTCTGTCTACATTAGAATAAAGCTTCACGGACAATTACCTGAATCCAAGAGAAGACACCCACCATGCTACCTAACAAATACTCTTACCCAAGCCAAAAGGGTTACTATTTGTTGAAGCTGGTGTTGAGGTACTACTGCTTGATGTTGATGTGGTAGCAGTACTCCCGGTGGTGTATGCTTGTTGAGTTGGGTGGTCTTGTGATCTAAAAAATCAAGTTTAAAAGTTTAACAGGCAAATTAAAGTAATGCCATTAAATACAGGAGTAGTATCACACTAGAGAATCTTAAGCTACATTTTGATTCTCTCAAAAATCACACTATTATCTTTAGATGGCTTCCTGCAAACAAATCTCTCTCACACACTTGTTAAGTCACCAGTTTTTTGGAACAGTACTTTGAAATATTAAGACAATTGATGGACACCACTGCAGCCATTACCACTTCCTCATCCTATCCCTGTGATGCCCACTAATTAATTGTTTCCTCTGTCCTTGCTTAAAGGATCTTTGCCTTATTCCACTATAATCAAATACCACTGATTACATGCCTGGGGCTTAAAGAAATAAAGCATAGCAAAATTTAATGTCAGATTTTTTTTAAAGACAAATATCAGAATCTCAGCCTTCAAGAACAGAGTGAAAATGTAACATACAAAAACTGAAAGCCAACATAACTTAGCACAGGCTGTAAAGACTGCCCAAGTCCTATATTCAACACACTTTTCTACCACTGAGGCACAAACACTGGTGCCTGCCATGTAGTAAAAGAGATCAATGAACTGAGATTCTGTAAAGATAACCTTACCTCTAGTCAAATGAAACCTGTATCAGCTCTCCCTGCTTGTTCCAACAATCAATCTCATAAATGCCTGTATTTGCAGAACTACAGCCTAGAGTAACTTGTAGAAATGAAGAATTCAAACTTCACACTAAGATTCCAGGATTTGACAGTACACTAAATTTCATACTTCATTTCATCTCAGAGTACCTTTTACTAAAACAAAGACCAGAAAGAACAACAGCAAAATCCTAGAAACAAAACCAACTTAACAAAAAACTCCATCCACACAAAAACCTCACCAAAACCACACACCTAAAAAAATTCCAAACAATCAAATAAAAACAACAAGCCAGAGAGATGCCTGTAGGCCAGAGGCTTTCCTGAGGTTTCTAAGAGTTCGCAGACTCCAGGTTAAACATCAGTCACCAAAACTAAAGACAGAAACCAAAGGAACAATGAAAGCAAGCTCTTTCACCAAATCATCAACACTTTTAAGCTTTTAAGCAGTCTCAATCTGCTGATAGACCTTGCTGATTTGAGCTGTATGCTTGTCTAAACAGGTAAATATAACATGCCATACCAAGTCATGTAGATATAGCATGCCATGGAACCAAATTACCTCAAAGTTCTTACTAATGTTCTGGGAGTGAAGGAGGACAGATTAATTCAAATCCACAAGATCTTTTAAAACCTTAATCCATGAACTTGGTTTTGCATTGTTTAATTTTAATTCCTTTCTTGCTTACCTTCAGGTCTATCAAAACACATACAGGTTGTATCAAACAAAAACCTGATCTAGAAGAAATCTTCCAGACAGACAATAACAATCCAAGAATGGGAGTACCTGGACACCTAGCTTTGACATAAACTGCCCTGACATAAGTCATCTGAGTCTAACTCTGGGCTCCTGAGAACAACAAGCACTAATACTCTGTAACATTAACAGGAACTGCTAACTTTGAACACAAGACAACTATCATTAGCCAAGAAGCTCTAACTTCAGTGAGGAAGATGACAGACTTTATACTGACCATGGATCTTCTGCTAGAGATACTTGTTTTCCTTTGGTCTAGAAAACACAAATCTTTCCTTTCTAAGCAAAAGGGAATTAATAAGCATAAAACTCTATTTTGTTTTTTCTACTGAGAAACTAATTTCAGAAGCAACTGTACCTCTTCATATAACAGACAAGAAGGTTTGTAAAGGAGGATAGAAAAGTATATGAGACCGAAAACTTGCAGTTCATAGGGCTTCTGCGGAAACTGCAGGCATATAACCTCAAGATAATGCTTTAAATGTCAAGTTGGTCAGTCTCAAGTCTTTGAGAGAGTGAAATTCCTGTGAAGTGCACATCATCTTTTATACCCACTTTGCCATTGTGTTCTCTCCTGTCACTTGTGAAAAAAATTACAGGTGTTGACTTGGGAGTTTGTATTCAGAAATTCATTGTATCTTTACTGTTTTACTGCTAATTACTCAATGCACAGGCCAGGTTATAAAAAATGACATGGGAACCCTGTATCATTCTGGAAAATGTAGCACAGTAATATAATATTTTTTCAATAAGGATTGATTGGGATATATGAGGATTCCTAATTGAAGTTAAAAATCTAATTTTGTTTCAAGGGGAAAAGGTTATCTTCTGATCTAGCTCTGGAAAAAACTTTTGCTTATTCACATACATGGCAGCAACAACAGCAGAAACATTCAACAGAAAGTAAACAGCATGGCATGAAGTTGCTGGAAACCATTCAGTCTTGATACTTGTGGCGGAAAATCAGCATTTGCCAGGCCACAACAGCTTGTTTGAAGTCTTGCCTTTCGGGTCAAGCATAAAATTGAAGTATTTTAGTAAGAAAAATATTAAGATGGTTCAGGACAACATTATATTTTCTCAAAGATGATTTTGACTACACTGGAAATTCTCTTTAGCAGGTGTTACGAGTGTATGTTTAGTTCATTTGAGCAAAGCTAGTACGTGAAAACACTACTGTCTCATTTGAAGATAGAGTAGACACAAGCAAAGGGTCTGTAGTTTTTTGTTTGTACTTCCTTTTCTGATATACGATTAAAACATTCTAGTGTTTAGACATTCTAAACTATTCTAAAATAATTCATAAAAGGTGGGAGAGATGGGAGACATGGATTGAAATGCTGATAGGACCTATGCAGGGACACCTAGAACTCCCCAAAAACCATAAATTGCACATAGGTGCTCCTTTGCTTACAAAGTGCAAGAAGGTAGGAAAGACTGGCACTGGTATTTCAGTACACATAGTTAGTGAAGATCCAACCTATGAACCCTCTGAAGACTGCCAGGCAACAAGCATCCTGCTGTCATTACTTATGAAGCCTCTTTGCCACAGACAAGACTGCAGGCAAAAAAAGCAGAAGTCAGAACAACAGCAGAATACTAGATGTATGGACCACAAAACTGCAGTATTAGCTAACGCCGTATACAAGATTGGGATGGCTGTCAGGCCTAAATCTCAGGCTGGGAAGAGAGAGATCTGCCGGAGCAAACAGAAGTGTTTTGACAGAGACACAACTCCAGAACAGACAAGATAGTCCTGCCAGGATGTGAAAATGGAATTGAAGACATCAGTTTCAACAGGCACGTACATTTAATGTTAATGCTGCTGATTTCAATCGGTGCCTAAATCTAATTATATCATTAACAGGCCTTTCTGACATGGTGAGGCCTGGAAAGTGAAAGTGTATTTCTTTTCTTTCATGCTCTACATGCTCTTTCTTTCATAATATGACATTTTCCCACCAGAGGAATTCCCCACCACAAACAGAAAAGACTTAAGAACGGACATGAGAACTCTTTATTTCAGTCTAGAACAACGAACATGTTATTGATTAAGCAAGCTAGATTCAACCGAGGGTTATGTTTACCCTTCTCACTGGAAGGACTTTTTAGTTGAGCCTTTTCCTTCTTTGCACTTCACAGGAAGTAGTTTTCTCATTGTCATTTTCAAGCTGTCTAACCAAAACAAATAAAATTTTTAAATACAAGACTTCCAGTTCATCCAGATAAATTAGCTGCACTAAACCAGTTCTCTCAAAATTCTCCTTTCCTTGTTTTATCAGAACAGTAGGATGTACTGCAAGTTTTCATGTGTGAAAAGAAAAGCTTTGCAACTTATCTATGGACAGTTAAGAACTGATTATCTGAGAATTATGGAGCCAAAACAAAGCAAGCACTAAACCCAGAAAGTTAAATAACAAAAAACCAAGAGACTTGTATTTAGAAACATTAATCCAAATAAAATGCAAAACACACCAAAGAAAAGAGCACTGTAATTTCAGGCTGAACCAACAGGGACTAAGAAGCTGATTAAAGTGATCTATTTAGTCTAATGTAGGCTTGCCAAAAAAACTATTAAGAATTCAGAGTATTTTCAGTTCTTACGGTTAAACAAAAGATCACTCATCAGTATGGTTACCTGTTTTGTGTTTTGATAACCAGGTGAACAGTGAGTCCATCGTGAATTCCATGCTGAGTCAAAGTATCGTGATCTTTTAAAATCTTTCCAGCAAATATCAACACAAGTTGATCAGTGTGGGACTTGAAACGCTTTGAGATTTCTTCCTTGAACTAAACAAAAAAGTTAGTATTATACATTTGTGAAACTGAATCCTTAATTTATTTAAAAGTTACAGTTAAGTACAGGCTACTTTGTTCATACTTAGTGTATTATCCCATTTGCACTGTGTCTTCTGCTTTACACAATCTAGAAATACTTTATTAAGTTTTCTAGACTTTTTATGTCCATATGAAGACAGGTAATAATTTATTCCTTTTTCGTACAGATCACTAGTTATATAACTAGCAGCAACAAAAATTTGGATCCATGTAAAGATTACTGCGGCTTCAATCAGGCATACACCTGTAAGAATATATAGGTACTAGTACATATACTACTTGTATATACGCACACACAGTAAAGCATCTACATAATTACATACTAGTAGGCATACACTAATATATATATATATACACACGCACACCACTGAAGCTATCCATTATTGAAAGGCTGAGGATGCAATGTCACAAGTACGTCTACTTTTGGTGTAATCAAATAGAGAAGTATCCTCTCTTCTTAGAGATATTTTTGCTACCTTCCAAGTATCAAAACTAGCATTCCTTTCCACACAGGCTAAGTTACCTCTCAGACAGCTTTTCTTTCTCATTCAACATATGCATAGCTACATTATGTTGTTGATGGTTGATGATGTAAGACTTATTTGAAGACTAGGCTGTAGCAACATGATTAAATTCAGGATCCTTAGGGTGGAGAGGAAGGAGCAAGGCAAGCTCACTACCCTCAACTCCGAGAGAGCAGATTTTCATCTCTTCAGGGACCTGCTTGCAAGGGTACCAGGGGACAAAGCCCCAGAGGGGAGACCAGGAAAACTGGTCCATATTCAAGGATCACTTCCCTCCACGCCTAGAAGCAACGTGTCCCAGCAAAGAGGAAGGCCGGCAGGAGAGCCTGTATGGATGAGCAAGGAGCTCCTGGACACAGATGTAAAAACAAGGTATACAGAGAGTGGAAGCAGGGGTATCCTTGAGGGAATACAGACAAGCTGCTGGAAAAGCAAGGGATCAGGTAAGGAAGGACGAGGCACCAAAAGAGTTGGACCTGGCCAGGGATGTTAAGGACAATGAGAAAAGTTTCTTCAGGTATGTCAGCAGTAAGAGGAAGATGAAGGAAACTGTGGGCCTGCTTCAGAAGGAAAGTGGAGACCTGGCCATTCAGGACATAGAGAAAGCTGAGGTGTTCAGTGACTACTTTGCCTCAGTCCTCACTGGCAAAGGCTCTGGTTACACCATCCCAGTTAAAGAAAGCAAAGGCATGGACTACAAAAAGGAAGATCTCCCCACTTTAAGACAAGAGCAGGTCTGTAATCATCTGAAGGACTGAAGGTGCACAAGTCTATTGGACCTGATGGAATTCATCCACAGATCCTGAAGGAACTGGCTGATGAAGTTGCAAAGCCTCTGTTCATCATATTTGAAAAGTCTGGGGAGTCTGGAGAAATCCCCACTGACTGGAAAAGAAGAGAAAAAGGAAGACCGAGGGAACTACAGACTATATCCTCCTGAAGACTCTGCTAAGGCACAAGGAAAGCGAAGGGGTGATTTGTGACAGCCAACATGGCTTCACCAAGGGCAAATCCTGCCAGCCTAATGTGCAATGGGGTAATGGCATCAGTGGACAAAGGAAGAGCAACTCACATCATCTACCTGGACCTGTGCAAAGCCTTCGACACTGTCCCACTCAACATCCTGGTATCAAAATTTGAATAGTATGGATTCAGCGGATGGACCAATCCCTGGGTAAGGAACTGGCTGGATGGTCGCACTCAAGGAGTGTTGATCAATGGCTTGATGCCCAGGTGGAGACCTGTGACAAGTGGCACTCCCAAAGGATCAGTACTGGGACCAGTGCTGTTTAACATATTTATCAGATGCATGGACACGATCATTGAGTACACACTCAGCAAGTTTGCCAATGACACCAAATTGAGTGGTGAAGTCGACACACTGGAGGGAAGAGAGGCCATCCAGAGGGACCATGACAAGCTTGAGAGGTGGACCCATTCAAACCACATGAGGTTCAACCAGGACAAGTGAAAGGTTCTGCACCTGGGTCAGGGCAATCCCAAGCACAAATACAGGCTGGGTGGAAAATGGATCGAAAACAGCCTGGAGGAGGAGGACTTGGGAATGATGGTGGACAAGAAGCTCAACATGAGCCAGCAATGTTCACTTGCAGCCCAGAAAGACAACTGTGTCCTGGGCTGCATCAAAAGAAGCGTGGCCAGTAGGTCAAGGGAGATGATTCTCCCCCTTGACTCAGCTTTCTTAAGACCCCAGCTGGAGTACTGTGTCCAGTTCTGGAGTCCCCAAGACAACGACACGGAGTTTGGAGCAAGTCTAGAGAAGGGCCAAAAAGATGACCAGAGGGCTAGAGCACCTCTCCTACAGAGACAGGCTGAGAGCGCTCAGGCTGTTCAGCCTGGAGAAGAGAAGGCTCCAAAGCGACCTTATAGTGGTCTTCCAGCACTCAAAGGGGGCCTAAAAGGAAGCTGGGGAGGGACTTTTTAAAAGGGCTTGTAGGGATAGTAGAAGGTGTAATGGATCAAAACTGGAACAAGGGAGATTTAGACTAGATATTAGGAAGAAATTCTTCAGTGTGAGGGTGGTGAGACACTGGCATAGATTGCGCAGGGTACTTGTGGAAGCCTCATCCCTGGAAGTGTTCAAGACCAAGGTGTCCCTGCTCATGCAGGGGGGTTGGATCTAGATGATCTTTAAGGTCCCTTCCAACTTAAACCCATGGCCCTCATGAAAACAACTGAACATGTTATATACCTTCTTGCATTCCTAGCCAACAGTAACCTGATTATGCTTTGACTGAGTTCTGACTGAGATCTATTATTCTCTACAAAAATGCTCTCACCAAAAGCAAAAATCCACAAAGTTTAAAAGGAAGATAGGCAAGAAAAATGCTAAGGAATGACTTTATTATAAGAAAGCCAGATAAATTTATTCTACAAGACTAGTCAGTAGGCTAAGCATTTTAAAAACAATACCATGCAGTTAGGAAGTTCTTCAGAAGTTCACCCTATTTAACGTTTTAAAATTAAATTGACCATATGCTTTCAAAAACTTCCCAAACATTCTACGTAATTCTCACTCCATATAGGAAAATAAAATATCTCAATTAATTAATAATAATTACATTTTACAACAGGTAGGACTAAAAAAGTGAAATCTCCCTGCATTATGGTTAGAAACGGTATAATTAGAAGAGTTTAAAGCATAGGAAGAGGCAAAAAAAAAAAATATTAAGTTTTATAGACAGAGGTAAAATGCCTTTGTGTTTGGGTAGGAGGTTGCCTTTGGTTAGTTAAAACTCTACTCACACAAAGCTAATTCAAGTTCTTGAGGAAAAAAACTTCTAAATCAACATTTATATTGGTAGTATTTAGACTTGCAAGTACTCAGAAAGTCACTCAGTATATTCCTCCCCAAAGTGGTTAACTTCCCTGAATTATTCCTGATGTGTTTATACAGTGTGTTCTTTAAGGTCTCCAGTGACTTTCTTCCAAAACCTATTCCAGTGTCTCAATATTCTGTTACTTCGTTGACCTGCTCACAACAGACAATGCAAACAGATAGGTGTTCTCCTCAGAATAAAGGGTTGCAGTAGGGGTAATCTTTCCTTGAAGGTTTTTTTCTAATCCAATCATTCCCACCTCTCTTTGGATTTTCAAAACCAATTACATTTTGTAAGTGTGGGGGCTCAAAATTGGCCAAGATATTCCGCACCAGTTCTTATCTATATTTAGTGGAACAACAGGATAAACCCCACATCCTGCAAGCTATATTCCGATTTACACGAAAAAGTAAGAAATCCATGTAGGAAAAGATTTATGTAACAGCGCTGACTCATTTAACAACTATAAACTCCAGAACCTTCCCTACAGAGCAACTGTTCAGACAGTTGCTTCCTATTTTGCGTTCTTCTGGTTAATTATTCCTCATATGCATTCCAAAGTAACAAAAAGCCTGCAGAAATACTCACAAAAATGCATAAGAATAAACTATTATCGTACTGTGCCAAATGAAAGAGTAAAGTCAGTTACCTGAACTCATGTATCATCATATTTTCCAGAATCCATTGTGACAGTGTGATCGATAACTTAATTCTCATTAGAAGGTTGATGCTATCTGTAGTATAAACAATATTCATTGAATTACAGAATACCTCACGTTGGAAGGGACCCATAAAGATAATCAAGTCCAGCTCACTGCTCCTCACAGGACTACCTAAAATAAATCATATCACTCATATCTTAAACCAAGCCCTGTCACACATTTCTAGACTTAGGGTTAAGGACTAGGTTAAGGGTTAAGTTAGACTAGGTTAAGGAAGCAGAACATGATTTATAGAACATCACCAAGTACTATCTAGTATTACTAGTCTATAACCCTCAAAGGCTATACAGTTCCTTCTTCCTGCTTGCATTTAATGCTATTTGGATAATCTGGAAAAGCAATACTAAAGTAAGACATGAATGCAACTGCCAATGCATCAGGACCCCCAAAACAACCTCTACAGCTATGTACATGCATCATCTAAAATGCACAACAGATCTCTTTACAGCCACAGTAATAAAACTGTCAAGAATACTGAGCCAATTTTGGATAACAGGAATTTTTACATAAAAAAACAAGATGAAAAACAAGAGTGAGGTCTCTTCATCACCTTCACTTGTGTTCAGCACAACCTTGTGATGTCTGAAATGACAAGGTACAAGCAGGACCAAGCCCTCTGGTTCGACTCTTCACTCACAGAAGACTACCATACAAAAACCTAGGTTACCATGCAAGATATTTTGCAAATGAGTGTACAGACTAGTGTCAACAGTCAATTATAACATCATAAACAGATCAGGTCTGCACTTTATTTTTGTGCTGAGGCAGGGGGAAGTAAATTGTCTATCCATTTGTACAACAGAAAGTCAAAAACATTTTAAATACATCTGAGCTGTCAGCACCTAGTATGTTTCTTCTGAGGAAAAAAAAAAAAAATAAATCAAAAGTTGAATAATCCAGTCTTCGGCATCACGTGGTCTCTGCCAATATTGGAAGATTATTAGCCTTTGGTCAGAGATTGCCACCAGTCACTCCTGTCTCCATCGTGAAATGCAGTCAAGGAGGGCGGAAGATCTGTGACCCTGTGCCATACTCTTGGGCAAACACCTGTCTTCAGCATTCTTAGTTGCTCACTGTTAAGGATAGCTAAACTGCAAGACCATTCTCCCAGAGTAAACAGAAAATTCCAGACGTTTCTTTAAATTCAGGCAGTAAAAGGACAAGAAAAATGACTGGCAATTGCTTTCTTACTCCCACAGACCTCATTTATGTAGTTTTCACAGGAGTTCCCACCACTCTTACTGGCAGCAAATAATTTGGAGAATAAGGTGCTACAGCCCCAAGGTAACGAAAAA